GTTAATGCGACAAAAATAATTACAAGCATTTGATTAAAGTTACAACTTTTTAAAATATTTTGCCATCATTAGAAACAGCATTGTCAGTCACTATTCTGAAAAACTCAACACATTTAAATTGCACTCACGAAACATTTTTGAATGTGTAGGTATGAAGAATACGCGATAAAATAATATCAAGAACATGTAACACATTTGCTATACGATATCCACAAAAACAGAAACTATCACCAAATACCGTAAAACGCATATTGTCTAATTTTAAAACCTTTGGCTCTGTCAAAGTAGGAATTAAAGTCAAAGCAGGAATTCAAAGGAGGATGCCTATTGTTGATGATGAAAACGTAGACATAGCAATTCTGGGATATGTCATTAGCACAAGCTGCTCTGGACTCGGGAATATGCAAGGCTTCAATTCACAGAATCTTAGTAAAGCATAAATTTCGGCTATTTTCATTCCACTTAGTTCAACAATTAAAGAAAACCGGAAGTATAATTAGGAAATATTATATGGACAGATAAAGCTAAATTTACTACACATGGACTTTTTAATTGACACAATATTTAAATATTCTACAAGGTTTGGAATATGAAAATCTAGAAAATTTATAAGATTTTATCAGCACGATGGTACACCTCCATATAATGCGTATTTGATCAATAATTTTTTACAATCAATTGATCGCCAGTAATAGACCTTTCGTATGGCCTCTTTGATCGCCCGATTTATCTGTACTGGATTATTTTATTTGGGGAACTATCAAAAATAAAATTTATGAGAGTCCATTAACAACTATTGAAGATTGTATGCAGAGAGTGAGAAATGCATTTTCTCGCTGGAACGACTGAGTTTAGGTATAAGGTATGCTACATGTTTTCGACTCAAATTTTTTTTACATGATGTTTCTTTTAAAATAAGCGAGTACCAAATGCTTTTGTTGGATTGGCCACAGCGACATTAGTAACTCTCTATAAAATTTTCTGTTACATGTTTTTCTTATATGAGACAGCCTGCGTTAGTCACATTGAAATTTTATGCATATAAAAATTCGCATGTAAACACCGAAATATTCCTGGTGGTAGCAAATGCCATCAGTCGCACAATCGGTATTGAAAAGAGCATTTTGCCTTATATTCAGTTTTGTTTTTCATACTGTAGATTTAATAACTTTGAAAGCACTAGATGCTCATACACATAATACACTCTAATAAATTTCTCAGTGTAATATATCATGAAAACTGCATTCCAAAGTGTTATGTTCAATCAGGAAACCTGCAATAGTACTTGTGAATGCTTTAAACTAAATTAAATTCAAAACAAATCTTTTAAATATTATTAAACATTGGAGAATTTGGTATTCACGACGAAAAGACAGGTCTGTTTAAGAATCTATATTTTGTAAGTATTAATATTGTCTTGCATACCTCTAACTACAACTGAATATATCACGTTTTCACAATAGCGTAGTAAATAAACAGATGCCTGGAGTTGTCTCTGTACGTAACTAACCTCTCCCAAAAGCAAAAAAAGAGTCGCCACGTGCCGAGCAGGTAACAAAGGCAATCAGATGTATATATTATATTTATAATGTAATTATCATATCATTTTGTTGACTACGTTTCTATAGAAAAACAACGTGAATGTAAAGACCGTTTCTGGGGAATAACAAATCCTCCGATGTTTAGTAATTATTCTAAAACTAGAGCTTTTTAAAAACGACATTTTTTTTCTTAAATTAGGTGTTGGCACTATTTAAGAGCCATTAAATGCTGACCTTAAAATTCGAAATTATGACTAATCCAAAGCAGGGATTAGAATCATAAAGTATATTTGGACTTGGACATTAGAAGTACTACTAATTTTTATTAGTCTTATTTATTAGCATTGTGAGGGGTACAGTTATATAACTTGAGGCCTAAAGAAAAACAATGATTGGAATAAGTTGTGCAATAACTGTGTAAATTCTTAAATATTATAGATACATAGCGATTATACAAGATGTCTCTGAATGGTCTATACAAAAACCTTCACATATTCTAGAAACTGCAATTATATGAGTGATCTCAACTTACCCCTATCCAAAAGTGTATCGTTGTTAATACGCCATCGAAAAATTTTTGGGATAATTTTGTGTACTAGCAATAGATTTTTTCTGATGTAATTTTTTAGTTGTCCAGTTACAAAGAAGTCAAAATTTTGTCAACAAAACCCGACCGCGACGGGTATTAAAGCCCACCATAAAAAAGGCGCTTTTAGATAAACAAAAAATTTCAAGCCATTAATCATTTGCTAAACTAGTTGAAGTTAATTTGAAAATTGTATTTATTTTTTGTTTATCTAAAAGCGCCTTCTTCGAAGGCGTGCTTTATTACCCGCCGCCTAGATGATCCAGTAAACACATTTACTATATTTCACATCCAGATCGAATACATTTTTGGTAAAGATTGTCCAAATGGGAACCAACTTGTTGTTTTTCTCCATCCACCCATGACTGATACGATTTTGGACAGGTAGTAATGGTTCGTGAGACGAGCCAGCTTGAAACACAGCTCTTTTAAATGTTGGTCCAATGCATCGTTTGTAGGAGATATTCTCCCAAAATTCGTAGAATCATGGTGAGACTCACATTCGAAAGAATAAAGGGAGTATCCAGTTTTATCTCACTACCATAGTTTGCCTAATCTTCCACTATAATAGAGGGCCATAGGAGAAACAGTCCGTAACATTAAGTAAGTATTAAAAAACGTTTTTATAGATTATCGCCGATGCCATTAAAACTTTGATATTTTGAACAGGTAGTAATGGTTCATCAGATGAGCCAGCTGGAAAAATAGCTCTTTATAATTGTTGGTCCAATGCATCGTTTGTAGGAGATATTCTCCCAAAATCCTTAGACTCATGGCGAAACTCACATACGAAAGAATAAAGGCAGTATCTGGTTTTACCTCACTACCATATTTTGCCTAATCTTCCCCTATAATAGAGGGCCATAGGAGAAACAGTCCGTACCATAAAGTCGGTATTAAAAAATGTTTTTATAGATTATCGCCGATGCCATTAAAACTTTGATATTTTTACCCCAAATATAAATAAAAAAGATTGTTACTTGTTATCACAAAGCTTTTGATACCAAATGTCGAAATCTGCGTATCCATTCGGCAGATAATATTTTGAAATTTTATATTCCTCTCACAATGGGGTGGTTACTCTAGATGCCCCCACTGGGGCTGATCGTTATTCACTTGGACCAAGAACATTATATAGTATTCAAACTATAAGATGATCTCAAATAGTAAACTTTTGCATTAACTTGAAATATCTGATAAATGATAATGATACCATACTATTAGCTTTTGTGAAGTTGTAATCTTTTTTTCACTTCCCTATTGCTAATAAATTTGTAACTATATCCAAATGTGTATATTTGATATTCCCATTTACCATGACTTATGGTTATACTGTAAATATATTGTTTGGATAATCTATGCAGATAGCAAAAACAAAGTTAAAAAACTTGAAAATAAGATTGTTTCCGAAACAAGTTTTAAATGTATTGGACAACACTGTTGAAATAATTTGCACTTCTTTGTAAGTAGACGATTAACTTTTGATCGCCTGCGCAGCACTGACGACTAAAAAGATTGTCAAAAAACACCTATTGCCAGTACAGTAAAACATACTAATTTGGTCGCAATAGCTCGGTTCAATAGATCTATTTTGACCTTAGGAATATGTGATAGCTTTTTGTACACATCTTTCAGAGACTGTATTGTTACTATGGCGTAGATAAAGAGCTATATTTTCCATTTATCACAAATATTAGAAAAGCGAGACTACAAAAATGTGTTGTTTTATTTTCCTTTTTGTATTATTTTATTTTAATTATCAAATGTATAAGTAAATTTGGCTTTTGTTTGTATATTAAAAATTGATTATGTAAAAAATAACTACTCTATTATATTTGTTTATAGTTCTATCCACTCGAATCCCAACGATGGAAAAAGGACTACTTATAAGAAGTATGATAAATAAGATTCCCAGAATATTGAGGTTCGAATATTTTGATGTTTATATGAATGTTACGCGTCTATGCAGGCGAGTAGTCAGAGCTCTTTTTTCTCGTTTCGATCACCAATTAGAAAACCAGGATTTTTGTGAAAGAAATTGGTTCTAGTCGACTCGGACACTCAACATATGATCTTTGTCTTCAAGGTGTGTAAACTACACAAGTGAACTCTATTCTATTCGTTTACCATTAGGAATATAGGTGTTTTTAGTATCTGAGGTGTTTAATTAATAATTTATAATATAATACAATAAGTCTGTAGTTCCTTATATTGTAGTGATCCAACATTGGCTGGCAAAGTAATCACATTGATAGTGAAAACTAATAGTTGCTTTTTCATTAAGGAAGTCAGTCATCATTACAAAATAGACAAAAACATGTGATATATGGATAAAACTGGCAAAAGACAAGTAATCGACCTTACAGCATGTAATTGTGGTATAAAGATAAAGAAAAGTTCTTAGGAAGATTTTAAAGAAATTTTCTGAATGGCAATAGCGCATAATATGTACAATTTTACTGATTTTTCTCATCATTTAATCAGTAGAAATATTTTTAGACAATATGTAAGTTTGCTATGAACAAGAAAAAGCATATACTATGCAAGAGGAAAAGGTTTATCGTTAAATCATCAAACACTTTGAAAGTTGGTCTTCTGATATATTGTATGAAAGTTGAAAGTATGTTGATGACTAACTCACCATCAGATAACAGCAAAAAGTTAACCAGGAAGTTGAACAATTCAACTTTTGTTGAGGATTCAGATTACTGTAATTTTTTGTGAATTGTGAAAACTGAATAGTGGACGAAGATTCTCAGGCACAACAGAAACCATAGAACTTGCCGCATTGCTTTTACCGAGGAAATCAACTATTAACATATAAATATACAAATAGTGTTCTTCCAGGAACATTTTAGTAGCTGTATATATGTGGCTTCGTGGTCGAGTGGTAAGGACTCTTGCCTCTCACCTTGGAGCCCGGGTTCGATTCCCGGTTAAGGAGCTAGGATTTTTTCTAAACTAGAAATTATCCTAGCATACTCGGACATTGGGTGTGTGTCCGTTGTCTCTAAATATGTAGCCCTCTCCAACACAAGATACTTTGAGGTACTTTCAAGGATACATGGGGTTGTATTACATGTGGTGTTTAATTAATTAAAAAAAATATCATATAAAAGTGTTCTGCGTTGGTTAGTTTTGTTAAATGGAAATTACAGCAATATCTATACTCCTCTTTTATTTGTAAATTGCAACACTGAAACTCGGAGAAACTCGTTACGTATTATTTCCTTGTCGAATACATAAATTTGTGCAACAATTTGGTTGATATTAGGGCCTTTCGGGTGCAGAGAAGTATTAACCAGTGGTTATAACCTCTCGATTATCATTGGTTGAAATTAATTTTGATTTTGAACTCAACCAATGATAATCGAGAGGTGATAACCCCTGGTTAAAACTTCTCTGCCTATTGTGATATTGTTGATTTTGATATCTACCAATTTTGTTTACAAATAAAGCGTTAAAATATGCATCATATGTAATTATTTTGCCCAAAATTTTTTGGTGCGAGTCATTTAACCATAATTATAATGATCACAGTTATGTATTGAAGCAATTGTATAGTACACCTATATACACTATGATCCAAAATTAAATTGCATTCCATTTAATCACAAATAACTTATTTTAACCCTTCTCAACGAATTTTAATATGTATAGTACCTCTTATTGTCAAAAATTTCTAGTTGTAAAAATTTGCGATTGTACATAATTTTAAAATAATTGTTGGACATGACCAAAACATTGGCCAGCAATATATTTTTTAAAGATGCATTACATTTCTATTCCGATCGAGTTTTATAATAAACATAATTTAAATTGATGTATATGTTTTGAAACTTCCCTATTTTTGCAGTAATGCCTATTTCTTCCTCCCAGTATATTCTGTTTACATCCACGATAATTCAAAAAATAAAGGCTACCTACGTAAGAGATTTTAAAACTTTTACGAGAATTTTGATCGGATCAATTTATTAGATTTTTAAATCATGAAAATGATGCAGCATATTGTTTGAATACATTTTATCTAGTTTCTTTGGGAAAAATGGAATTAATCATATTGCAACGATATTACCATAATGTCCAGTAATAATTATTTTAAATGGTTACATGCGCACTTGCCTAAGAATCTACCCCTGTCTGTACAGCTCAATTTTTGAAACAACAATCACATGCATGCATTTTAAAAGATATATACTAAGCATAACATCCCCAATGGCCAAAATCGTTTAAAAATCAGTTGTTAATGGTTAAATCAGTTGTAATTTAATTTTGACCAAAGTGTATACTGTTTATTCCCAATTAAATATTGTCATTTACTTTGTGACGAAAATAATCCGGAGTTATTTTCGAAACTAACATTTCTTTCTTCCACGAACTTTCACCATTTAGCGGTGTTTTCGATGATGGAAACGAAAAAACTGTCTGTTCAAACATACCTATCAACCACACAACATCTAATACAATAAGGCCAATAATTATTGTAGCCAATGCCAAGACATTCAGTGCAATATTCAACATTGAACACATAAAAAAAATAAACAATCATCGATATGCAACATCATAGGACGAATAAAAATGTAAACACTTAAGTATATTTAAGAAATCCACATTATATGCAAGAAAAATACATCGAGGAAAATGTGTTAAATGTTCATTAAAACAACTTTTTACATTATTTAATATTTTTAATTTTAGTTTCATAGGTTTCGGTGAATTAAATGTATTATTTATTTAGTTTTTTTAATGTTTTACTGTTTCCATTACCTCACAAGTTTTGATACTGGTGCTTCAAAATGTTGCAAATCAGTTTATTTTCAGTAGTGGGATTTCTAACTTTAGAGTTAATTACTGTGTACGTGAGCATTTAAATCTTACCTTCCCTCTGTGCCGGAGCTACTGCTGACATAGGCTGTGGGATTGCCTGTGGGAATTGACCATAAACCGCGGGGTAAGCTGCTGACAAATATAAACAAATCACACCCATACTTCACGACGAATGCAACCAAACATGCTTCAGTTCAGTTGGTACTATAAACTGTTCCGTAATCAAATAAGCAAAGTTTGTTTTCAAGCATCATCAATATTTTATACACATCTTCATGTTGTTAGTTTACTGGCTCGAAATAAAATCAAAAAAATATTAGGTATAGAGCAAGTTTCTTCTTTTCTATAAAAACTAAAACTCAATTTTATTATGTTTTTGAAAAGATGTTTAAAATAAATAAATAAAAATTATTTTATAAATATTTAGAAAATCTGATAGTATATTATTTGTCAGATATTTTACACCTGAAACTCAAAAAATGATAGATGACATATGCAGTCAATAATATCGACTTACCATGTTTAATGTCAAATAAAACTTTGAAAGTTGATTTTTTGAAGTTTGAGAGTATCCTCGTCATACCTTATTAACTGAAGTAATTAGAAGAAATATTTCAAAATGAAACTACGTCTACTTATACAGATTATATACTGCACTCGACACGCGTTTCGGCAACCAAGTGGGTATCATCTGGAGATGATTAAAACTGACAATTTTATAAAATGTGCCGTTTGAATTATTTCAACAAGTAAGTTGAATTAACTTATGACTGCACTCATATTGGAGGATATTTCATTCGATTTTAATATTAATTAATTGTATTAATAAAAGTTTCTGTAATGCGTTATAATTGTATATATTTTCATATGCTTCGTGCATGGTAAATGGTAACTGAAACTATTTCTTACAAGGTAGAAATAAAATAAAATGCTATGCAACGTTCAACCCGTGAAAATGTCGCCGTTATAGACATATGCAACAACAATCAAGGTCCAATCCGATTGGCAGGCAACCCGTGTGTCACGACAGGAGTACATAATATGTTGCATAATTATACGACGTCACACTAAAAGAGTTTATTGATGCAAACAAATACGAATAAAAATAATCGACGATTTGCATAGTTAATTTGGAAATAATTTCATAACATATTGTAGTGGTTTTTATAAAGAATATAAAATGCAATTACTTGTGTTTTTATGAAGTGACTCTAAATGCTAGATTGGTTGTAGGGTAAAGATACAAACTGATATATTTTTACATAAAGCTTACTACAACGTCGACTTAAAGCTTCTTAAAGCTTCATAAGCTTCTAGATTCTACTTCTTGCCCTCCAATTTCGATCAGAGCCTCACCCTTCAAATAAGGTACAAGCTTAATCTTCGAAATTGAATTTAAAGAAATAATTCTTGTAACACGAAAATTCACCTTTTTTTTATTTATCACATGTTACAAATCATGTTTTAAAAACTAACTACTCTACATATCACTTGGAGAAAAGTGGTGCTTTTGAAGTCTACATCAACTTCGCGCTAGTTTATTTCAGATCGTGTGAAAAACTAACAAACGACTAACTTCTTTCAAATACGAATGTGGTTGCAAAATGTTTTCAAATACACACTCGACAATTTCTTGAATTTTTCGAGACCCAAGACTGCCGATCTGTAAATTAAAGGCATTAAGAATGCAGTCGAGGCATTAACATGTGTAAATCTGAACGTTGTTGAATCTAGAGATAATCTGATGCATTTTAAGGTTCATTAACTAGTAACTCCGCAGTTTTTCTGGAATTTAAAGTTAAATAAATTTTGTATTTATACCAAGGTCACAAACGTCACTCCAAAGTTATTACATAGTATACATCAAATGGAAGTGACTATGTGTTTTTTATTTTCTTTTATATTCGTCTATTATGGCCCGCGAGATATATTGTAATGTTTTCGATTATGTAAATTTAAATGACTCGTAAAGTTCAAGATTCTTTCGGGACATATTCGATATGTTGTCCGGTGTAAAATTAGTCAATGCATTTTCTTGTTATTCGATTTCTTTAAAATTACGTTAAATGCCATTTTTTCATTTCGAAAGACGTATCGTTTCTTATACTTATCCTGTAAATATAAAAGCAATGTATCGTAGCCAAAGAGTTTTAAACAAAAGTTGTAAAGAACGGCTTTCTCTTTAAAATGGGTGCCTCACAAACTGTTTTTGTTGAAAATTTCTGATTCTAGAGCAAATATTCCGAGCGTTGTAGCTCATTCCCTACAGCCTGACTGTTTAACAAAGTAAAGGTTGAAGTTAAAAGTTAAAATCAGTTGATTTTTTTGTTAATTTTATTTTGAGAAAATAATTTATGAATAAGGAGAAATCAAAAAAAAATACAAGCACGATTACGTAAAATATTTTATTATTGATACCTTAATGAGACAGCTTTAACAACCAGATTTTCATTTCTGTTACGTGCAATTTCAGAAGCTTTATTTATAGAACTATGGGAACGACAAACATCGCAGCAATACAAGTTCATTAAATGGCATGAGCAAGTTTCAAGTGATCACGATGCGATGATTTCCAGCACAAGAGCAAGAGAAATTGCCAAAGATTTCATATGACATATTATTTTCGAAATAATTCGCTTAATATTTCATTATTCTCAATCAAGCCACTTTCTGTTGGCTTCCATGATTGTATTGATTCATTAATAGTTTGAGTAACTCATTTGATCAAGCAGGCTCCATGTACGTGTTGAAGTAATGCTAGCAGCGATGAAGGCAACTTTTCAATGTACAGACTTTTTTCGATTGCCAAATGATACTTCAAAGAATTTACCGAAATACGCTGTTTTCCACCATTTTTTTTAATAATATAAAGCAGCTAGAAAGGCCTTCACTGCTTGTGTAGCCATTGAAATACGCAACCACACACATCACGACAATTAAACGAAGAACTAGCTTCAACATACTCTTCAAAGCTTGACATGAAGATTTCTTGACAATTCCGAACAGAGATGACACGGCATCACATAGTAGGTAACACAGGTTATATTCTAATTTATTTACGAAAGTATTTATTGACAGGTAACGTCGATGGTCAATGACAGATGTTGTTCTGTCCGTAAA